CGTCGGGACGGAAAAGAAAATGGACGAGAGATAGCAAGGAGAAAGGAAAATAAATATCGAAGCAGTTCAAGCAAGAAATACAAGGATTTTGTTCGATAATACCGTTGTAAAATATAACAGTGAAATTAAAAAACTGATATCTATCAACCCTTTGTTCTAACACAAATAAAATATAAATCAATGCAGTATTAAGGGGTTTATTCCATATTGGCAATCAAGTGGACTTAATCCTTGCTTAGATTCTTGCGGAGACGACTTTGAATGCTTCCAGTTACCATAAAAAAAATTTCATGGGAAACCGTCGAATATACGAACGTTCTCTGTTGAACCCTTTCGCCACAATCGTTCGTCATTAAATTTAATTTAAAATTCGATTTTATTGGCAATATAGAAGTGCACGTAGCGCTTGAAAAAATTTGAAAATTTTTCATTCGAAAGATAAATTTGAGTATTTAAGAGTTTAAACGTGGGGCCAAAGTAGGAACACTTCGCGTTGAACGATTACAGTCGTCCTGAATAGCGAAAGGGTTAACGACCACTCAGTGTGTGTAATCAATAATGTATCGATCGGACGTTCCGCACGAAGGACTGCACAAATTATAAGTGATAACGCTAACGACACACGTACGTGTGTATAGGAATAATATTGCCAGAGAGAGACTATAAAATTCCAAATTCGAACGCGATGAATCGTGACAGGACTTTACCATTTAAAAAATATAGTGATTATTTATAAATAAACGAAAAAAAAGTGTTTAGGGTGGGACGGAGGGGAAAAATGGGTAGACAAAGACTGATCCTGGAAGGAAAATAAAACTTGACTCGAGCATAGTTGTCGGATCGATCATAGTTGGAGACGTTTTACAAGGACTTATTTTAATTTCTTTCTACGACACAAATTAGAGACACGCTATCGTCGATCAAACGACTACCGAGTCAAGTAGACGAATAGAAACACTTCTGAGAAGTGAAATTACTTGTTTTGCTAAGAACTTTGATCCATGTTCGATCTATCATAGACCCGTACTACTGTCGATCGAATATGGCGCTCGAACGAGTTGCCGAGAGATTAGGAAACGAAGCAATTGCTAAGGAGAAGAATCTATTCTCTTTTTATTCGTAAAGACACGAAGGTCTCAGGGTCGGGCACTTTGACGATTATCCGAAGAAGACGAACGAATCGTTTTCCGAGCGAAAAAGTGATCGACTCTGGATCTTCTCTAGTTAGAAAGTTGGCCTGCGTCTGATCACGCACGGATTCATACTACTGTCGACCGTGCACGGGCCTAAAACGTTCACGCATCGACCATCGGAAACATTGAGCTTCTTCCTCTTTCTATTATATCTCGTTACTTGTTAGTGGACGCTCGATTTCCACTCGGAGATAATTATTTCAACGACGGTTCGAGTATATTCGCCGAACGAATCGAATCGATTCGTGGCGCGGTTAATCGTTTCGATCGCGAGTAACTCGAATGTTCGTTGTGATCACGATTGGTGCTTTAAATCGCAACATATCGAGACTAGAATCGAGAAGACGCGAACACAGAGACCGATGACGGGTTTCTTTTTTCGAATGAACTTTTCTGATCGACAGTCGACAAGAACATTTGCTTTTCTGATGTTCGATCTTTAGCCAGAAGTGTGGGCCCTGACGAAATTCCGATTTCGTGAGGAATTTCATTTTAGGAACGAATTTCGCGAGGTGCCGTCGCCGCGAATGATACTGTGTAATCACTGTTGCCGTCGACCTATCTTCTCTCGATACTTCGGTATATCGATTCGATCGATGTATCGACGGATTGACGGATCGATCGACGATGAAAATGTCGCGCCAGCAGATTACTTAACCTCTTAAAGAGTAGAATCTCTTGATTGACTAGCGCTCTCGAATGGGATTAAATCGATTTCTTTCTCGAGTGTTTCGCGGATATACTTTCTTCGAATAACCTTCTTCTGGGGCCGGGCAAGGTTTTATTTACGTTCGCCTAGGCGCGGACGCGGACAAATTTAACCTATATACGTATATCTGTATTTAATTATCGTCATTTATCAATATCACTGTGTACTTATCGCATGATTATTAATTACGCGTATTATTTATGCAACTACTTACAGATATATAGGAATCCCATTGAAGTATTTATGTGGAAGTTAGATATATCTATATATACATTATATTGCATTATATTACATTATATTATATTATTATATTATTATATTATATTATTATATTATATTACATTATATTGTATTACATTATATTACATTATACACATGTATTTCTCACGTGAAACTTTTCGAGCATCTCAATTAACACCGCGACGGCTATTGTTGTACAACAAATATATATATACATATATCTATATGTACGGGCGTGCTTTTTAAGAGGTTAATCGGGATACCGATTTATAATATGTAGTACAGAGCAACAAGCTTCTTCTACATACACACCTACACTACATTACACATCCATGCATACATACGCGAGTCCGACTTTACAATTTTACAGGAAAAACCTCGAATTTCGTATGTATATGTTTCGTAAATATTTCGATTACGATTGATGACTTGCTTTCAAGTTGTATCGTATCGGTCCTTTCGATACGTGTACGTGAATTTATCATTCGATTATTAGATTGAAATTCGAGATGAAATCGATCGGACGGAGCGCGTTGAACAAATAAAAACACATTTCTCTCTTCGTAAATCAACACGTATACGTATTCGTATGCGGACAATCCGCACAAGGGGAACAGAATTTATTTCTCGAGGAAACAACCATGGAATACAGCACATTCCCATTGATTTCGTCGAGCATTCATCGTCGCTACCTCGATTCGATTCGATTAGATTCGATTCGGGCGCGATTCACGATTTACGTGGTAACGAATTAGAGACGCGTTGAATATTTACATGAATTTACGAGAATTTTAACGATGTAACCTTTTTCTATGCCACACACAAGGAACAAATTTGAAATATAGTTCACACAGAAACAACTCAGAAACACGAATAATAATTTTAGGTTAAACGTACCGACGAAGATACTCGGCGTGAATGAACGCGGTTAGATCACGATCACACGCATATACAGAAAACACGCGAGAAGAATCTACGCACACAGAGGCACACACATACATGCATACACACGAAGACAAATGAGATAAAAAAAAAAGACAACATTCTCGAGAAACACGTGCGCGCCATCACAATTGTTGATATAAATTGCGATCCATGATTATTACTATTTACGATATAATTATTATCTTGCATTGTCTAGTCATACGTTATTATTGTATAACTAACGATATTAATTATTAATTAACCTGTACTACCTAGTCGCATTATGTGTTGCATAAAGAAAAAAAAACTATGAAAATTCCGAAGGCGAAAAAAGAAAGGGAGAGAGAGAGAGAAAGAAAGCGCGCGTGCCAGAATAAACGAGACAAGGTGAGAAAGGGAGGGAGAGAAAGAGGAAGAATGAACGAGACAGCGTGAAAGAAAGAGGGATTGAGTGACACGCAAGAGACACGAAAACGTTGCGTTGATAATAACGAAATTTTGGTGATTAAATTGTGAAGAATGACGACGACAATGATAAGATGATGATCGTAGCAGTGATTATGGTTGTGATATGCAACCGGTAATGACGAGCAGGAAACAACGGTAGGTACAACATGTTCCCAAAAAGAAGAAAAGAGAAACGATTTAGAATATAGCGTGAGAGAGAGAGCGAGAGAGAAAAAGGGAGAGAAAGAGAAAGAGAGAGTGAGACGAAAGGCACTTCGATGCAGCCGTGGTACGCTTGTCGATCGAGATTAATTAAGATCAGGATTTAACGACGACTGTACATGATCTCGGGTGAAGTTATTTATTTTGGGGGTTAGGGTGATGGTGTAGTGAGATGTATAGAAACTAAAGGTGCTTTGAAATGTAAACAATTTAAATAATGATGTTTTTAAACTATACGATTCGTCGATAGCTTTAAGAAACGATAGACTGTTAAACGAAACGTTTTCAGAGAGGAAATTTTTGAATGTTAAATATAATTAAGCACTTCACGGATACGTGAATCACCGGTTTTTGAACATCGAACAACGCGATTCCATCATAACGAGGAAGAGAGAGAGAGAGAGAGAGAGAGAGTGAGAGAGAAACAAAAAGTAAGTCGCTAATCCGCGAAGTGTTGAGTCATATCCGCCCAAAAGACCCGTCAATCCAGTCAGAAAGTAAAATAATGTATCAGACGTGTTTGAACATTCGTGAAAAATAATAAGTACTTTAGGATACTTTCTGAACGCATCGTTTCTTTGATCGATGAATCGAACGGAGAATCGATCGATTCGGGCGATCATGGCTGCAGAAGCCGCCAAATTTAGTTAAGGAACAGAAAGTGGAGATGATGATGATGATAATGATGATGATGATAAAAAAAAGTAATAACTGTCACGACACGCACGCGTGCGTCGCGTGTACAATGCGTCATATCGTGACGCACACGTGCGTACTAGTAGCAGAAAAAAAAACAAAACGAGTATTAAATATATGCGGGGGCCGTGGAGAGGAGGGAACCTTCCTTTACTTAAAAGAAACTTCGGTGAATTGCTTGTTAATTCGCTGATTTTTACCCTATCATCGTGCAAACGAAAGACGAAAAAAATATAAGAAATACGTAAAGATCTGCATATATACCTCATATCCTCGGTTTCGGAGCATAGCAAGCGCACCCCTGTCAAAACAAAAAAAAAAGAACAAATTTTCGAAATATCTTATCGTGCATTGTCTCTCCTTCCTCTGAAATCGTACCCTCCTCCCTCCCACCCGAGGAGAGCTCGCGGGCCCTATATTGCAATATTTGTACTTTTCCATGTTGAAACCTCGATATACAATAAATTATATTAACAAACTTCCATTCTCGATTCTTTTACGAACCGATATTTTATTCCCGTCAGCGTTATTTATGCATAAGAGTAGGATGTGAATACAATAATTATGAATATTATTTGGAATCATTTATTCAAGAACTAAAGTACAGTCATACTTATTTTTTTGTATTTTTTGTCTGCAATTTAAAAGTGCGTTTAAACTAGACGAATAAAATAGTAGACTGAACTACATCAAATTAGATCGCTTCGAATTGTTTTATTAGAGTATTTGTTCATGTAGAATGAGCATTCACTTGTTTAGTTTAAACACATTCTAACAATTGATAAAACGGTTATTAAAAAAATTTTGTTGAGACACAGTAACGGCTGTATATTCTTATTACAGTCTTTATTTCATAGCGATGCAAAGCTTGATTGTTTAACAATAGTTCTTCTAATATACATTTTATTTCTTGTGTGAACCTTGCTTCTTTGGAGCGAATTCCAATCCCCTTATATAGGTCTTTTTAATCTGGTACTTTTCTGCAAGTATAATATTTAATTAAATATTAATTTATTCAGTAGATAATGACAATTCGTGACTCACCTGTTAGTAATTTATAAACATATAAAATCTGGTTCCCTTGGACAAGAACGCTGGGAGTTTTCTTTCCGGGTTCGTCCGTAATCGTTGCACTAGCTCCAATATTTTGACATTCTTTACTGAACTCTTTAGAGTTTATTCCAAACGTTTCCAAGTTATTTATTAACGTTACCTATAATGTACAGAATATACGAATTTTAACTACTCCGACTTTATTAAATGCTATGTTTAATTATTGATTACAATACCTTTTTACCACCAGATCGAACAGTAACTCTCATGTCAATAGGTTCCAATTTGCCCGTGTGTAATAACTTGTTCCCTGCTAAAGTGACTTCGTGCATGTGTGTCATACGTCCAATAAATTTATTTATCCCATTCTCCATTGTTATGGTTTCCTGATTTACTCCGGTTTTCATAATATCTGCGAGTTGCGGATTTAACTTCAACGTCCTATAAACAGGAAATATTAGATGACTGTAGGAAAGAAATAATGGTATTTAATAAAACAATCACTTGCTTTCCATCTTGAAGATTTTCCGCTTTCACGTAATCAGTAAAACATTTTCTGATCTCAGCTCTTTTCATTACGTCCCCTTTTCTGCAATCATCGTATGGGAGTAAAATGTACATAATTCGTATCATATAATACAGCATAATGGTATATGATGTAACAGTTGTCGACTTCTGCTCTGCACAGAAAATCAATCTCTTTGCAATTATTGTATCGCGGTAAAATGATACATCCCGAGCGTGGTGCTATATACTCACTCGTATCCAAACTTAGACAATACTGGTAAAACGGCAGCTGTTACTTTGTAACATTCGGAGACAACTGCTGTATTTGAAACAACTGGGTCGATCGTTTTACGTTCTTCTAAAATGACTAGTTCCCTCAAAAGGGGATGATCAAACTGCAAAAATAGTTCAAAATATTTGTATTGGATGCAACATTTCTCCTACAACATACTCCAAAATCATAAATATTACCTTGATTGATAATATACTTTCAACCCCTTTTGTAACAGAAGTATCTATAACTCCTTTTGCCTTCATTTCTGATAGAAATGCGGATAACTTTTTATATCGAGACTTTTTTATATCAACATTTTTATCGTGTGGACAAGCTGCTATTAAATGATTTTTAAAGAAATTGGAGGTTAACATTGGTAAGTCACTAGATTTTATAGATGTTTTGCAAGCTTTTAAAAAGCAATACTCTAATAAATTATCCATTTCCTTTACTGGGTCCAAAACTATTTCTGACTGACCAGCAGTTACATTCTCTAGCTCTTCAGAGGCTTCCATTTTAGTTTCCTCTGTGGTATCCTGCAAAAAGTTATATTAACATTTTCTTAACAGTAACCATTTTATATGTATTAAATGAGTTATATTTTAAGCTACCTCACAAGGGTCTTCACTTTCTGATACCCTGTCATCATTGATCTCCAAATCATTTATTGTATCAACAAGGAATTCATCATTACTATCATTAGCTTGCTCATTAATTTCACTTGTATCCTCCAATTCATCATTATCTTCATCAATATTTACGACTCCTAAATTTGGTCTTGAAGGTGGCTTTCCCAACTGACAAAGTGTATCTCCTATCACGTGTAAAATTTCTACACATTTCCCATGACCTGCTGACATGTACATATCTTCACTTGAAAGTGCTGTAATACCAACAGCAATTGATGCCTGCATACAAAAATACATCATATTCATCATATCCCATTATGTCCAATTATGATATAGTACTTTGAGTAGATAATAAATTAATTCAAACCTTGTTATCTTTTGTATTCACTGACACAGGTGTGCCTTTTTTCAATTTTCCAAAGGTATATAATGTTACAGGTTCTTTAACAATCAGTCCAGGTAACATTAAATCTGCACCTCCTGATAATTTTGGTATAACTGCGGAATGTGTTGTAAAAACTGTTAACAAATTTGGATGACACCATAAAGTATATATGGTTGGCAATAACATGTCATTCATAGAATCCATTTGAAAAAACATGGGTACTTTAGCGACACAATATACTTTTCCAGAGTGCCCACTATGAGTTACAATTTTCATAATGCTTGTTGCTTCTTTCTTAGGAATTAAAGATTCTGTATCTTCTTCTGTTAGACTTGGATATGCAGTCAAAATTTCGTCACATAATTTTTTCCTAATTAATAACAAAACTGATTTTTATATACTGTAAAATAGTATTTGCTAATTCGTTCTGGAAGTATGTACATTGTACTAACCTTTCAGTTCTTTTTAATTGATTGTTGGACTTTACTTTAAATGGTTTTATAAACATTTTGATTTTGAGAAATTTGGTTGATAATATATAAACTTCCAACAATATTACACAGATAAAATTATACACTTCCAACCACCTCCACCTACGATCGACGATAAGGTTGTCCAACCTTCTATTCCTAAACTTAATTGTTGTCGTTTAACGGTTACCAACATGTTTCATGTATTTACCCAGATGTAACTAGATTTCACTAAAAGGGAAAGTATAAAGAGAAGAACTTCGCACTACTTGTTTTAGATCTTGGAAGATCTGAGAGAGATAGAGATGAAGAACAAGTTAAAAACAAATGCAATTCTACATATTATCGGAATGAGACATTGTTGAATAGATTCGATTTTGTTTTCGATCGTGCAGCGTAAGTCGCAAACAGTTGCCATGCAAGTTCTTTGTCCGCGTTTTTCTTTTGCATCAGTCAACCAATTCTCATCAAATTTTGCACGCGCATGCGTATGTACATCCAGATAGCATAGAAACAAAAATTTTAAATCGGACTTGCCACGGAGGAATAATCACCGAAAAAACTGATCCTCATAGACTTCAGCATTGCGATACGTACATAAGCCGCCTATGTCAATTCAACTGCACATGCAAAGTGCAATATTTCGGCACTTTGACGACGTAGTATGGTTCCTGAGGCATTTAGAAACAAATTTCTATTAGGGTTTGATGCGGTTTGATGCCTAATAAAGCCAGGAAATCAATTTTTGTCGAATTCGGTCCAAAACGGTACAGGTGGCGCCATCTAGCGGCGAGCGGCGGAACTACGAAAAATTAAAATTTCGATTTTCTCGAAAACTAGGCACTTTTCCGAAATTCTGAGATATACAAATTGTTCCCTGTCGCCTACGGAATCGAACGAATCTAATTATAGCGCGCTAGGACCATTATTAAAGAAAATAGAAAAATAGCCCATTTCATGGACTAAAAAATTGCCGTCCATCTAGCGGCGAAAGTTGGAACTACAAAAATAGAAAATCTCGATTTTCTCGAAAACTAGGCACTTTTCCGAAATTCTGAGATATACAAATTGTTCCCTGTCGCCTACGGAATCGAACGAATCTAATTATAGCGCGCTAGGACCATTATTAAAGAAAATAGAAAAATAGCCCATTTCATGGACTAAAAAATTGCCGTCCATCTAGCGGCGAAAGTTGGAACTACAAAAATAGAAAATCTCGATTTTCTCGAAAACTAGGCACTTTTTCGAAATTCTGAGATATACAAATTATTCCTTGTGGCCTAAGGAATAGAACGAATCTAATTATAGCGCGCTAGGACCATTATTAAAGAAAATAGAAAAATAGCCCATTTCATGGACTAAAAAATTGCCGTCCATCTAGCGGTGAAAGTTGGAACTACAAAAACATAAAAATGCGATTTTCTCGAAAATTAGCAAACTTTGACTACTTCCGAGGCTGAGAAAGTGTTATGTGATCGCATTAGAAGCAAAATAAAGCAATAAAAGCTTCCTGAAAGCTATAATAAAGAAAATAAAAAAAATGGCATTTTATGGAGAAAATTTGTGGCGCCATCTAACGGCGAAACTGCGAACTAAACTGAAAAAAACGTATGTCCGAACACGCGTTAAGGAAAAATATAAAAAGTAATATTTCGCAACTTTGACGACGCAGTATGCTTCTTTAGACATTTTCGATCGTGCAGCGTAAGTCGCAAACAGTTGCCATGCAAGTTCTTTGTCCGCGTTTTTCTTTTGCATCAGTCAACCAATTCTCATCAAATTTTGCACGCGCATGCGTATGTACATCCAGATAGCATAGAAACAAAAATTTTAAATCGGACTTGCCACGGAGGAATAATCACCGAAAAAACTGATCCTCATAGACTTCAGCATTGCGATACGTACATAAGCCGCCTATGTCAATTCAACTGCACATGCAAAGTGCAATATTTCGGCACTTTGACGACGTAGTATGGTTCCTGAGGCATTCAGAAACAAATTTCTATTAGGGTTTGATGCGTTTTGATGCCTAATAAAGCAAGAAAAGCAATTTTTGTCGGATTCGGTCCAAAATGGTACAGGTGGCGCCATCTAGCGGCGAGCGACGGAACTACGAAAAACTAAAATTTCGATTTTCTTCGAAATTGAGCAATTTGACGTATTTCTGAGGGTCAGAAATTGTTTTGTGACCTCTCTAGAACCTATACAATGCCATAAGAACCTCCTCAGAGCGCTAGAAATGAAAATAAAAAAATAGGTCAAAACATGGACTAAAAAATTGGCGTCCATCTAGCGGTGATAACTGGAACTACAAAAAATAAAAATTTCGATTTTCTCGAAAACTAGCGAATTTTAAGTACTTCTGAGGGTCTTGCCTATTAAGCCCAGAAAATCAATTTTTATTTGATCCGTTTACGCGTGTTCGGACATACGTTTTTTCAGTTTAGTTCGCAGTTTCGCCGCTAGATGGCGCCACAAATTTTCCCCGTAAAATGACATTTTCTTTATTTTCTTTATTAAAGCCTTTAGGAAGCTTTTATTGCATTATTTTGCTTCTAATGCGATCACATAACACTTTCTGACCCTCAGAAGTACTTAAAATTCGCTAGTTTTCGAGAAAATCGAAATTTTTATTTTTTGTAGTTCCAATTATCACCGCTAGATGGACGCCAATTTTTTAGTCCATGTTTTG